GTGGCTTGTTGATAACATGTAGGTCAGATGAATGCGCTTTGGCCGTTCAGACTGAAGTCACATGTCAAAAGATCGGACATGTATCGGTTTTAGAAGCACATATCCAAGTGTCCAGGGTCACATTTGAAAAAATCGTCATTAAAAGATCAGATACAGGTCACATAGAGGCCAAAAAATCAGATTTGGGTCACTTCAGGCTGCAAACTGAACGTAACCTAAGTCGAGTCTCGAGTCACTGGCCCATAAGTCCAAGTCAAGTCCAAGTCATCTGCTTTGAGCTTCAAGTCATTTCAAGTCTTTAAACCAAAGTACCAAATATAGCAGATTTTTTTTAGATTTTTGCAATTGATGAATTTTAAACTAAATTGTACTTATAAAGTCATGGTATATTTATATATGAGTATTTATATAGTTGTAGAAATGCAATTTTTTCCATTTTAAACGTCTTGACAAGATCTTAGTGTGAATCATTACAGTCAGAATAGAAAGAATTAAGATTTAAAAGTCCTAAACAACAGTTATTTGTCATTTAGTCTGCACTGAAACAGACAGTGTTGTGTAAGTTCACACTTTTCATGAACTAGTTCAAAGTTCAGTTCACACTTGTTCAAAATGAATAGTTCACGTTTATAGTTCACAATTTTAATTTTGAACTAGTTCAAAGTTCAGTTCATTTTATATTTAGGTGAGATCTGTAAATGAAAGGCTGCATTTATTTTAGACTAAACCAGGTCTAAATCAGGACTGAACCAGGTCTAAACCAGAACTGAACCAGGACTAAACCAGGTCTAAACCAGGAATAAACCAAGACTAAACCAGGACTGAACCAAAATTGAACCAGGTCTTAACCAAGACTAAACCAGGACTGAACCAGAATTGAACCAGGTCTAAACCAGGACCAAACCAGGACTAATCCTGGACTAGAACTTGGAATCTAGGACCGCCCCTGAGAGAACCCCGAGTGCGATCGGGCATAAGCTGCGTTTAGCTCAGTGGAGCGCGGACTTCTGCGTCGGTCCTTTCGCTCAGGATCACGGTCTACGCGGGCGAACCTCCGGCGTTTCACCGCTGCTGATATCGCGGGCGGTGATTTTAGCAAATTTGTATGAAGAAAAACGAAAAACCCACCATTTCAATTCGGGTTAAAAAAGCATTGTGACGCGCGTTACTGACATATGTACCAAGTAAAATAATACGCGCGCGGAGCAGCACGTCCTGTGCGTGTAGATTTCAGAAAATAGGATCCATCCTATTTTTTGACGCTCTACACGAGCGTAGGCGCGTATCCCCGTCAAAATCCACAGAGAGCATGTATCTATTGTTGTATTTGTGCATTTACCATCAGCACATTGTGCTCCCTGGGCAGTTGTGGATCATGTGAAAGAGCCCAGATCCACATACACTGTTAATTAGTGCTTTGAAATTAACTTTTGAAATCCTTGCGTTTGCCGTGGTCAGCCTGTACAGAAGGTAAATACAAGCAGCTAAACGCGCCCAGTCAAGTTTGATTGACTTTCCCATTGAGAGACACAAGAGCCCGTACGTTCCGCTAAAGCTGCCGGTGGAGTCGCCTTCGCGTTGACACGCGGCTGTGGTTTCGCGAGGTTAAGTGCGAGCAGATCGTCACTCGTCAAATTCCGAAGTTTAACTGAACCCCAACAGTGACGTACGTCGTTCATCACACATAATTTGAACAATTTCACGTTCAAGTTCTTGATTTACAAAAGTGTTGCGTTCAGTTCAAAGTTCACTGAAAAATGAACGTGTTCAATGAACGCGTTCTTTTGAACTCGTTCATGCACAACACTGGAAACAGAAGGATCATATTCTTTGCAGTTCCCTCTGTTTTACTGTATTTTACTGTATATTACTGTAGTACATTTGAGGATACCACATCACAGTACTTCAGTTACATCCAAAGTAACAAACAGAAATGGGAGCGACGTGTTCCAGTTTGTCCCTGTCAAATTCAGTGCCGCATGTATCAACTGTAAAGAGAAAAGTCCAAGTCGAGTCCCAAGTCTTAGTCCATTTTAACAAGTCAAGTCTCAAGTCCTAAAAATAGTGACTCAAGTCTGACTCGAGTCACGACTTGCAATTTCCCACCTCTAGTATCAGATTTTCAATATTTTTAACAATCATACTTTTTATCCCACTTATCAATTAGCAAAACTGTGAAACTCCAAAAAAACAGTAACACCTGAATTTATACAAACTTTATTTTCAAAACCTCTAAAAATTGTGACATTTCTATCTTGGGGCCTGCACTGCTGTATTCACTTTTCCAATGCAGGCTGTTAATAGAATGTAAGTGACAGCTGGTTGACATGCGGTTGGGGAAGTGGTGGTCCTGCAGCAGCTAAAGTGGACAGTTGAGTGACGTGTGCACATTGGGCTCTGAGGAAAAAGGTCCAAACTGGAAATATGTGTCTACTCTGAAACTGTCCCTGGAAACGAACCAAAATGGGCTACAAAAGTCTGCCTTGTGCACCTTTTCATATGTCTAAGTTAGCAAAGAGATTGGATTTAACTTGGGAAACTCATGTACTATGCAAAGTTTACTTTTTGGAGCTTTTAGGGTCGTTAAAAGTATTGAAAAATCAGACACTAATTGATATTAAAACTAGATATACCTGGATCACTGAGAGATTACACAGATATAAGGCCACACGACAATATAAAAGAAAGTACTAAAAAAAGGGTGTTTTTTATTATCTTCATAGTACTGGAATGAGTCTATTCAATCAGGAATCAGTCTACTCCTTGGTATTGAAATCAGGTATGAAATTCTTTGCTTTCACACTTGCATGAGTACATTAATCCATTTGCATTTTTCACAGATTGTTGCGCCACAGGTAAAAAAAAAAAAAAGTCTAAATACATCATGTGATTTGTAGACATGAATTTACGAAAGCACGTTAAAGTGGGACTAAAAACCTAAACTCTGTCCACAACCACATTTCAAACAGAGACGCTAAACTGGGCAGTAGCTGAGAGTGGGGAGTGGACATATGAGGAACAGTGTGATTGGTCAAACTGGTATCCACACTTCAAACTCCAACCTGCAGCCAGAAACAGGAGAGCTCAGTCCTGTGTGATGTCACGCAGTACTTGAAATTGCAGGAGGACTTAGTTTTTGACTGTTTTGACTAGAACACTTCAAATTTAACTAGGTTACTAAAATTGCACTAAAAAATAAAAAATAAAACACCATATACTGTTTAGTAGCAAATGAGTCAAAAAATAATTTTTAAAAATGGTAAAAGGTAGAGGTGTAACGGTAAGGCAAAACAAGGTACAGCACAATTCGTACACAAAGTAATTCAAAGTGCTTTACAAAATAAGAAATACATTAAAATCACAATAAAACCAAATCAAAGCATAAATAATCATAAAGATCAAAATTAAAAAAGAGAGACATAAATTGGAGAGAAGAGTGCGGAATGAAAACCTTTCAGTTATATGCACAGTTAAACAGAAATGTTTTGAGTCTGGATTTAAACAGCGTCACAGAAGAGTCTGTCTCACATGTTCAGACTGTTCCAGGTTTTAGCTGCATGAACCTGAAACTCTGACTCCCCTTGTTTAGTCGTGACTCTGGGCACCAGCAGGAGGCCGGTCCCTGAGGTCCTCAGAGTGTGAGATGGTTCATATGACACTAACATGTCACAGATGTACTTTGGTGCTCGGCCATAGAGACTTTTACACAAGCAGAGCTGCTTTAAAGTCTATTCTGAGGCACAGGAGCCAGTGCAGAGACCTGAGCACAGGACTTATGTGCTCGTACTTCCTAGTTTGAGTCAGGGCCCCAGCTGCAGTGTTCTGGATGTACTGCAGCATGTCACAGCTCATTTGGAGAGGCCAGTGAGCAGAACATTACAGTATCTATCCTACTGGGGACAAACGCATGGATAAGTCTCTCCAAGTCTGCTTTAGACAGTAAACCTTTGATTTTTGCGATGTTTTTGCATGTATTCATGCCAAACCATTTTGGTACGGTGCATTTGGTTTGGTGCACGGCTGTGCACAAATCAGTTTGCACAATTAGTGTGTGTTTACATTCCACCACTACGTGTACAGCTACACGGAATACTTGGCTCTTTAATATTCATGAGGGAACTCGTCCGTGATTGAGGTGGCAGTGTTTCCTGCACTGCTTTATAGTTAGAGTGGCCACCTTGACAACACTTGCCCCCTGCTTTGACTACATCCCTCTGAACCACGTGAATTCTCACAAAACTACGGTCATCACGCCCCAGCCCTCACTTTTGCTGGCACGAAATCCCCCACCCCCACCTCCAACCCCCCAACCACTGCCAGCAGATTTGCACTCACTGCAGACAGTGTGAACAAGTTGTTTTTTCTTGCCAAAAATATGAAGACTGAGTAAAACTTCATGCTCGAACTGTTAGTGCTGCACTTTACTTTTTTTTTTTTTTTTTTTACTTTTACTTAAGTTTACAAGGATTTTTTAAAATAATATTTCATACATTTGTTGCTTATTTGAGAATATTTTATTTAACTTATTAGTTATTAGTATTACCAAGCAGCACTTTGCATTTCATTTATTTTCCCATGTATAATGTTAAAACTAATTGTTGGTTTAATAGCCTTTTTCCCCCTTCCAGGCTTTCACAGCTCTTTACACCAAAGAAACACTCCATTCACACACACATTCATACACCAGTGTACGCAGATGCTATGGGGTAAGGTAGCTTAAGTGTCTTGCCCAAAGACAAAACAACATCATTCATCTGTGGTAGGTGGAATCGCACCTCCAACCTGTGAGTCAGTGGATCTGATCACTCAACCAATGATGTTTATGTGGGAGCAGGATTCAAAACACCAACTTTTGGATCAGTGGACACTCTACCCTCTACCATCTCAGCCACTATTACCTCCTAATAAGCTCTTATTGTCCACAAACCAGGAAGTGTGATGTTAGCTTGCTAGTTGTTGTTAACATTGTTTCTTCATTGTCCTGGTCTGTGTGGTTGCAGGTGCTGAAGGGCTGTAAGAAGCTGTCCCTGGCTGTGTGCTCGATGGGCCGGATCCCTGGAGGTTACATCACCAACCACGTGTACAGCTGGGTGGACCCACAGGGGCGCAGCGTGTCCCCCCCACCCGACGAGGCTCACCAGAAACAGGCCAACGCTGCCAACGAGAGGACGGTAAGAGGGCCAGGGTATATGACATGTCCACAGCCGGGTGTCCACAGGCAGGTGTCCACAGGCAGGTGTCCACAGGCAGGTGTCCACAGGCAGGTGTCCACAGGCAGGAGTCCACAGGCACCAGGCAGCGCAATGAACTGTGTGGTCAGTGGTTCCGTACTGTTGTTTGTGCACTAGTGCCGTGCAGGGAAAGCGAGAATGCTCTGTGGACTACAGGTCTGGACGGGTTGCTCCAGTTCTCCATGCTCGAGGGCTGCAGCTGGTTCTGAGGTGGTGTAAAGCGTCCGGACAGAAGCGTTAATCCGGTTTGATTCGTTATATGTTGTTCTAAGTGTCTGTCCTCCACACACTTTGTTTTTCCAGGGGAAAGTTCTTCTCAGGCTGAGGCTCCTAGCACCTCTCCTCGCTTCATCTGAGCCCAGCCTGAACCAGAGCTGCTCCCGCTGGGTCAGGAGTCTGGGTTTGGATCTATTCCAACTGTAGCGTTTCTCACACGAGGCTAAATACAGTTCATTTTATACGTTTGAATCAATTGAATAGAGCCTATTCAGTTTAGAGTCTAAACTTTACAGCAAAGAACATACAAATCAATCGTGACGCTACTTATTCAATCAAATCTGTGCATTCAAGCTCTGAATGCAGACACAGAGGAAAGAGGTTTTGAGAAATCTGATGAAAAATGTTTTGAGACCGTTAAGTCAAGATGTGAAAGGTAAAGAAAAAGGGAAAATCAAGCAGCAATTTTTTTTTTCTTTTCTGAAATTAAACACTTTTTAAAAGATGCACAATTTAGCCATTTTATTTGTTTTCTCTAATTAATTTGAATCTGCAGTCCTATAACTAATGTAGGACTACTGTGTGATTCAGTGTTAACAATACATTTTGTTGAAATTTGTTTTTAACTTTTTTAACAAACTCTATTGTTCATGCGTTTAGACACTGATAAAACGAGGCTACTTCTGTATCACAATCATAACACAAGTTAGACATTATGATGTCCCGGACGTTTGCTTGAGGAGATTTTCTCTAACTGGACCTAAAGGATCTAAACCAGAACCAGACCAGGAGTATACCAGAGCCAGACCAGGGCTAAACCAGGACTTAAACCAGGATTTAAACCAGGGCTAGACCAGGATTAGACCAAGACTAAACTAGAACTAGACAAGGACTAGACCAGGACTAAACCAGGACTAAACCAGAATGACATAAAACCTTGTAAGGCAGATTTTTTTGATCAGAAAGCTCCAAAAAAGCTGATTTTTCGTAATACCCCCTTTTAAAATTCTTCTTATTCTTCTTATTGTATGATACGCAAAAATAAAAAAATAATAAATAAATAAATTTTTTTAAAGAAGTAGAAAAGTTATATAATGTGCCTTTAAATAAAAGTTGAAAGAAAACATTATATTTAAATTTCACTTTTTCACTCTAAGAACAAAAGCTGAGTTGGAAAAAGTGTTTTATTTCAGTTTTTGTCATCTACTGCACCGCATCAGATGAAAGCTTTAGATTTGGTTTGACAGTTTTACAGGGGTCATGACCTTTGGCGCAGTGACCTTTCAGACACTCTGAGCTGTTAGATTTTAAAGCTACTGACTTACCTCCAGCAATAACAACCTGTCCATCAAAAAGACTGCACATTTGTTCAGTTCATTTTTCCTGCAAATATTTGACTATGGAAAATAGAAAACGGCGCCCACAGTTCAGTAGCTTTATGAAAAATTAAGTTGGTAGAAACTGAGTAGCAAAAATGTGCCACAGACTATAGTTAAAGGGCCCATATTCTGCCATTTTCTGTTCCATGTTATAAAGTTGATAGTGATGGTCCTTATGAACAGCATACATGGAGTTGTGTTTTGTTTCACACATGTTCAACCCTTCAAGACCTATGGGTAATTTTGGTACACTTGTCCGCTTCTGAATTTTTTTTTCTTAACTTTACTGTCAAAACTCCCCCTTTTACCTTCTTATGAAGTGTTATACATCCTTTTTTTCAGTAAAACCTGTTATTTCACAATCTGCTTCTGTAGCTGTGTCATATGGCTGTAATTAAAGCTATAGGAGAAATACACATGAAAACAGAAAATGGAATATACAATTCACACTCTTTTATACAAAACACACAGCAAACATGTATAAGTAACTGTTTAGACATAAAAATGCTTAATTTAACTTAAATATTGTTAGTGATTCTTCAACATGGACATTTATTTTCTTAGATTAATCTATAAAGCCTTGATATTTTTACATCATTTTGTAGAAAAATGTTGTTAAAATTGTATGTATCAAATTTGATACAGCAGGTCTTTGTGATTATGTACCCCATCCATGACTATAATGCATTTTATGATGCAATCTTCATAATTCATGCAATTCCATGCAAATTTAACACCACACATTTTTAGTTTTTCATAATTAAGATGTCACCTTAAAAATATATTTTCAATTTTTCTTCTTCTTATTATTGCATAATGGTGGAATTTTGATCTTTACATGACTTGTATATAAATGAATGGTGTAATGGTCTGTTTTGTAGCAGCTGTCCTGTCTCTTCAATTTTCACACACAAAATCAGTAATAATCTATATTTTACTGGTTCAGAGGATATAAAGGATTCACTCATTTATTTATTTATTTATTTATTTTTTACATATATTTATGATAATTTTACACACGTGTGCAGTGGGAAATGTAATGTACATCTGTGCTTGAACAAGGACCCAAAATGTTTTCTCACCTACCACATGACAAAATTAAAATCATCCAGTTCAGACATTTAAAAACATAAAAGGAAATGATCAGAAAGGTTTTTCTGAGTTCTAAATGCATCAAAGAGAATACATGGTTGGGTTCTATAAAATGGCCATAAAAGTCTAATGTATCAAATATGATACTTTTTTTTTATTTATAAAATGGTTAAAGTTATATTTTTTATTTTAATTTATTATTTTTTATTTTTTACATTTTGTTCAAAGGTCCAAAAAAGAGTTAAATATTTACTAAAAAACAAAACAAAACTGAATTTTCTGTCTATTATTTTATGTGTCATGCTTTTTAGGGTTAGGACTGTCATAAAAAATTGAAAATGAAATAGAAAAATGAAACTGGATACTCATTTGAACAAGTATCAATACTACAAAAGTCACCCAGACAGACATGAACTTTTTCTGAATAACTTTAGAATGATCTTGAGCTGTGTCAGCACAATCTTATTCTAGTTTTAGTATCAACGTGGTATCGGAATCCGTACTGAGTATTGAGTCTATTTCTTAGAATCAAACTCATGTTTGAAATGTTGCAAGCCTGACAGGACTACGAGTGATCAATAAAATGTTTCCAGGAGTGCTGCTTTTATAACCTGTATCCACATTATTTCACGTTTTATTTCGAGAGAACAGGCTGCTTAGTGACAAATACTGCAATTAACCACTCTGAAGTAAACTTTATGGACTTACCGCTTCCCGTGGTTTCGAAAGACTGCAGTGTATCTGGTCTCCTTTGTGAGCGGGATCAGAGCTGGCCCCGTGCAGATGATATTGATTCTCATTTAGTCCCTAAGACCCACTGCGGACTACTTTCTTCTCCTGAGATCGATGTGGAGCAGAGGACAGGCCTGCGGGGAGAGCGAATCAATGTCCCAGTCACATCACACACACACACACAATAACGCGCATACATCCACCTTCTGCTGTGCTTAAATCGGCACTATCTAAGCACCGCCAGCTAAAGGCCCACTCAATGCGCTTCTAATGGGATAATGTGCATAAGAGCTCTCTATGCTGTAAGTGCAGGTAACATGAGAGTGGTATTAATGGAAGAAATGTATAATAACAAATCTATAATAATACATATGGAACATTCATTGGTGCATTATGAAAAAAAATGAGATGGACATTACTTTATGAGATGTGCACTACCAGTCAAAAGTTTGAACACATCTGCTTTATTCATGTTTATTTATTTCATGTTTACCACTTTCTACTTTTTCATGGGTTTGAACAGAATAAATAGGAAAAAAATATGGCTCAGCTGCAAAAATCTGCTGCAAAAAAGTGTTTTTTATTAACACCTCAGCCCGACAGTTCAAAGTGTAGTATTTACAGGGCAGGGTGCAGTAAAAAAATAAAAAAATATCTACAGCAGCAACTTACAGAGAGCCAGTACCCACAGAGTCAGACCAACGACAACAAACAGAAGGAACAGAGCTCCTCCTTAAATACCCCTTAGCAACAAAGTTTTAAGAGTTTTATGACCAAACTTGTGTGCACCCTCGAACGCACTAGCGGCAAAATAGAGTCCAGGCAGCAGAGGAATAGAGTGTAGGGGTACAGGACCGCGGGACACATGTGCAGACCTGTGGGAGAACAGTCGACCAGGGCTCTGCAGAAACAGAGCTCCACTGACTTGGTGCACTCTCGAGCCAGAGTAAGAGATGCGCCGTTTGGGGGGTGTCACAACACAAAGCAGTGTAAACGAAATAGAAACCATTTGCTTTTGAGCACTTTTTAACATTTGGAGGGGGGGTGTTGGATGAACCAAACCAGCACAATCAAAAGTTATGCAGCACAAACCAGCACAAATGAACCACAAACAATTGACAGAGTTTTTGTGTAGGTGTGCATTTGATGGGGGGGCAACTTCATGGAAGTGGTAACTAAGGGCGCTCCTCTTTTCTGAATACTTAGAATACTTTTATCAAGTTGCATTTGAATTATAGTGTAAAAACTCAAGTAATGTTGTCTTTTGAAACCTAAATTGTGTAAACAAAGGCCACAATGCATTCTAACTATTCTAAATACCACCAAATGAAAAGGTCATTTTACCAGAAAACAGTTACTCAAAGTTAGTATTCAGAATAGACAAATGATTTTTTTATGCTCACGCAGCTTGAGTGCAGAAAGTGTCGCTGTCCGTGTGGTTAATATGAAGTTGCAACATTCACCAGAGTTGTTATTAGTGCACTAAAGCAATTTACCACCGTGTGATAAAATCAGTTTTGA